CGTGATATGAGTGAAACGAATAGCTAAGCGTTTATTAAGGATGCTTTTACCAGAGAAGAAACTTAAAGAAAAGAAAGCGAACCTAACAAAGTAAACTCGCTTAGCATTTATGTTTGGCTGACCCGAATACTTTTGATTAGATTTATAACAGTATTGTCTAAAAAAAATAATAAATAAAAATGAAATTCGATGAACTAGTTAAATTACCACCTTTGCTTTACATAACTGAAGAAAGCAGGCTAGTTTACCCCATACAGTTGACCGTTAATAATCGGCAGCTGACCGAAATTCGTATCGATTCGCACTGTTTTGAAGGCAATAAAAAACCAAGATAACTCCTGAACTAGTATACTATCTTGCTTTAAAGTTAAACAATAACAAAAAACCATTTATTCCTGAAGACCGTGAAAAAGACTGAGAATATTTTGCCGAAGAAGCACCGCAAGTTCCGCTTTATTATCAAAATGAACCTTATCGCCTAGTTTGATGTTGGCAAGATGGAAGAAATTTCATCGGTATTAGAACTTGTACTAGAATCAGAAAAAGGAAAAATTATAAATATGACAAAGTTAAATAATCGTAGTTATCAATACCCCGAAAGGGATCGCGAAATTATTGCTAAACTTTCTGATCCTAACTATGAAGTGAAAAGTCATGTTTTCTCAAAAGATGCTCCGGTAGAAGATTTATTTAAATATGAAGTTTGTCAAACCATTTTTCGCTATCAGCAAGAACATAAAATTCCTTACGAAAAATTTGCTGAGCAAATTGGCTTATCCTTCGCGGAAGCTATGAAGGTTCTTAAAGGGAAAATCAATGATTTTTATTTAGGACAACTTATATTTTATTTCAAAAAAATGGCTCCTGAACAAGAATTAAAGTTAACCCCTTCTATTTGTTTCCATTGTCACAACAAAATAAAAGGAAAATTTTATTATATTCCTCATCTTTTTATTGAAAGTGTAAAATTTCCTCTTTGCCTTGGATGTGCAACAATTAAAGTTAAGTGTAAGAATTGTAGTAGGGAAAACATCGTTGTAAAAGATTATGAATTAGAAAAAAAGACTTTATAACTTACGAGTAGATTTATTATCATAACGAAAAACTAGCAAGGAAAGCCAGCCTATTTAATTAAGCGAACGGAACCAAGAAAGGAAAAGCCGAATAAAGACCGAAGCGAACGAGCGAGAAAAAAAGCAAACATGATAAGGCGAATAAAACTTAAAGCAAGCCCGAATAAGGTTAATTAAGCTTAATTTAGCCTTGGTTTTTAGGGTTGGAGTAGTTTTGTATGGGAAAGGTAATTTAGGTGGTGAAAGTAAAGGTTTAGGTTGGTTTGTGGATGATTTGGGGGGTTTGTTGATTTTGGAATTCTTGTTTTAAAGTTTGAAGGTCGGCAAAGTTTAAAATCTCTTCGGGAGTTTTTTGTTTAATGTCTCTTAATCAGGCGGCTAAAGCATAATCGTGGGGAGTTAGACCGATGTTTATTCAGTGGCGGATTTGTTCGGGGGTGAAGTTATGGTTAGTTCAGGATTGGGTTAGTTCGGAAGTGAAAGAAGAATGGAGGTTGGTTCAGTTATCAAGGGGGTGGTCGATTTCCATGGGTTCTGATTGATATTCTGGTTCTTTAGTTGCTTTTATTAATTTAGTTTTTTCTTGAGCAGTTTTGGTTTGTGATTCGAGAGAAAGTTGTCTTTTAGACTTAATTGCCAAGCTATTTATTTTACTGGTTAAACCGCTACTCAGTGCTTTGTCTTTTCCTAACGTAATGCTTGCTAATTCCTGTAGCTTTGGAACTTTGCTTTGCACATTCTTCCTGTAAATTAAGTTCATCAAAATTATTGATATCTAGTTCTAAATCTTTAGAGGCTTGATAACTTTGCAATTTTTGCGTTATTTCTTTAGTATCTATCATTTTGCTAGTTGTAATCGCCGTAGGATAAATTTGGTAAATTCTATAAAAAACGTCAAAATCATCCTTTACTTTTTGGTATTGCTGAGCAAAAGGAGTAACCTTGCCTCAAATTTCCCTTAACCAATTACCAATAATTTCCTCTAACTCTTTAATACTCGGTCTCTTGTTGGGATCCGCATTTCAACATCTTTTAACTAAGTCTTTGAGTAGTTGAGGTATTTTTAATTCGTCTATGTTAGGTCTATATCCTTCGCAAACTTTTAAAGCCAAATCTATATCTTCCATTTTTGGATAGGGATAAGCATTAGCTAATAATTCATAGGCTACTATTCCAAAAGAATAAATATCAGAGGCTTGGGTATAAGGATAACCTTGCAAAGCTTCTGGAGCTACATAAGGAAGCACACCGAAAATTTGACCTTCTTCTAGTTGATAATTAGCAGGTCGGGACAAGCCTAAATCAGTGATGTAACATTGAACAGAATTATTAATATTTAATATATTTCCGCTATGAAAATCTCGATGGATTAATCCTTGCTGATGAATCGACCCTAACCCTTTGGCAATACTATGTAATTTATTAAGCTTACTATGAAATTTGAAAAAGGTTATTCAATTATTTTGCAAGTATTGTCTCAGATTGCCACCTTCTTTATAGTCTATTGCGATTATGTAATTATTGGTTTGAGGGTCTCGAGAAATTCCATAGAATTTGACAACACCTTTGTAATCATCAACTAATTTGTGATTAACAATTTCTTGCAAAAAGTCTGTGGTCATATTTTCAGAATCATTTAGACTTTTTAAAACAATTTTTTTATGTTTTCACTTTGCTTTGTATACCTTACCAAAGCCACCTTCAGTTAGATATTTAATGTCAGCAAAATGCTCGTAGGGAATTCATTCCAAAACTTCTTTTTTGTCAGTCACTTCTGACTGAGATTTTTTGATAAGTTCTTCAATTTCTGGTCTGCTGCTAGTTAAATTTTTAAATTCTTGCCGAAAATGCTGAACATTACAAGGTCTACATCAATCTTTTTCAGTATTAAATTGATTACATTTTACACATAATCCATATTGATCGTACTTTTCCTTTAGCCTTTTATTTTTCTGACTATTGTTTAAAACTCATTCAGGATCTACTTGTTTAATATCTCTTAAATAAGCACAATAATATCCACTATGAAACCCTAAGCCAGCATTTATCCATTCTGTAATTTGGGAAAAAGAGAAATTTCTTTCCTTTCATTGCCTAGTTGCTCAATGGTCTTCAGATCCAAAGCCAATAGCAATTAATTGCTTTACTTCTTCATAAGCAAAGCCGGTTTCTTCTCATTTTCTTCTGTTTCGATAATAACTAAATGATGAATAGATATCTTTTCAAGAAGTCTTTATTTTAGCTTCCTCCAAATTTATATTAGTAAAGTTAGTTAAATCATAACCATCTTTTTTTAAGTAAGTGGCGAAGTCATCATCATTATAGCTTAAGCCATTTTCAACTAATAGTTTAGCTTCGACATAAGTAAGACCAGCTTCTTCTCATTTTTCCGTATAAGCAGTCAATCTGTCCAAAGTAAATTTATCAATCCGACAATGGAGAATATCTTCCGTTTCGGATTTACTTAACTGAATTCTCTCAGCAATTTTAGCAATAGTAAATTTATTATCTTGTTGGCAAGCAAGAATTATTTGGCAAAGTTCATATTTGGTTTTATCTAAAACGCTAGCACTTTCATCCAAAACTAGATTGCCACCTTGATAGCAGGGATCAGAGTATTTTTTTCGGATTCTAGTTAATTCTTTTTATGGTAAAAGAAAATCTTCCTCGGAACTTTTAAGGCTCTTTTTTTTTTTAGTTACCATATTAATCTTTTTAATTAGGTTCCGGAAAACAAGTAATTACTTCTACAAAGCTAGCTTTGCCATGCATACAACAAACTAAGCGATATTTTCTTCCTTGAAAAAGATAAGGTTTAAAAACAAAAAATTCTCACAAGCCTTTCTTTTCTTCGGTTTTGAATTTTTTTCCATCAAGGTTTTTTAGCATAGCCAGAATTAATTGGTTAGTTATACCATGTTCTTGGTGTTTTTGGGCGTGAGGGTTAATGATAACTCGGTTAATTTTTCTTCCGTAGAAAGTTATTTTACAAGGATATTTCTTTTTCATTGAAGGCATAATTATAAGTTTATTTTTGCTTAGAACTAGCAAACTCCTCTTTTAAATTAGCAATATTTGTAAAATTCAACACTTCCTCAGCACTTAATCACTTAATATCTCGCAATCAAGCACAAAAGGCTGAATCTTCCACCTTTAAACCAATATCCAATCATTCTTTAATTTCTTCTCTACTAAAACCGGCCTGAATTCATGCTTCTCTTAATTCTTCTTCTTTAAACTCGCCACTTATCACCCATCATTCTCAATTTTCCGGCAACAAGTCTAGCAAACAGTCCCAAGTAGTCATGAGTTCAGGATTAACTAACTCCCTTAAAACTTGATACTGGTCATCACTTACTTTTCCTTCCTGGTGCCAGTCAGCGAGGGTTTTGTTGTTTAATAGTCACTCATAATCGGCTTGTTCTTGGGCTTTTCTTTGGTTTTTTTCTTCTTCACTAAGTTCGCTTGGCGGGATAAAGGCTGGACAGCTAACCATTTCCGGCTCTCATTGAGCTCCTGGACAACTAACTACTTCCGGTTCGTAATAAGGGGTATTACTAGGTCATTCAACTTGGGCAGGTAAAACATACGGGTCAGGGCTAACTATTCTAGGCCGGGGAGGCAAAAAGGGTCGAGGCGAACTACTATCTGGACTAGCTCGGGGCTTAAAAGGTAAACTCGGCGGCTTTGGCTGGACTCTACTTTGATTTTCTCAATAATAAACCGCTATCGCTATTACGGCAATTAAAACTAACATCTTCACTTTACTCATTAACTCATCACTAAATAAACCGCCCCGGCCGCTAAAAGCAAATAAACCCATCAATAGCTTTTAGGCTGTTTAGCACTCAATTGTTCTTGTAACGCTAAAATAGCTTGCTGGGACTTAGCTAATTCGCCTTTTAAATTAACAAAAGCATCTCCTTCCACACTCGCACTTTCTAACTGGCTAATTCATTGACTTAACTGGCTATTTTCTTCACTGGCCTTAGCTAAGTTAGCTTGTAAGCCAGCATTCCTTTCTTGTAACACTCTAAAAGCCTCATTTCTTTGCCTTAACTCTTCATTTTTTTCCGTTAAACTTTGCTGGTAAGTCTGCTCATTAGTTTGATTTTGGGTTTGGCTTTTCGCTAACTCTTGCTTAATATCCTCCAAACTCTTCTCCGTGCCTCGTAAAGTTTCCCGTAAGTAATCGGCACTTTTTTGGAAAGTATCTTTTTGTTCTTTTAGTTGGGTAATTTGGCTAGTTAAGCCCGTTTTTTCTTGCTCTCATTCAGTTAGAGCAAATTGCCGCTCTTGGAGCATTCGTTCTTGAATAGCTTGCTTTTCCGCCGTTAAGTCGGTGATTTGTTTTTCTAAAACTTTAATCTTTTGTTCGGCTTTTTCTTGGGCTTTTTTTTGTGTATTCTTTTCGTTTTTTAACTGTTCAATTTGCCCTTGTTTTTGGCTAATAGTTTGCTCTTTTTGGCTTAATTGTTGTCGATAATTAGCTTCTTTTTCTTCTAGTTCGCTAACTTTATTTTCTAATTGTTGCAGTTTTTCTAAAAGTTCGATTTCTTTTCTGAGAAATTTAGTAGGCTTGCGGGTAGTGTCGCGAAGTTGGGCTAGTTCTTGCTTTTTTTGGGCAATTTTAGTAGTGAGGTTAGAATAAGAGCTTTCGGTGGAGGTTTGGCTGTCGGTTTCTTCTCTTTCGTATTCGGCTAGTTGGGCTTTTAGTTGGGTGATTTCAGTTTTTCAAGAATCTAAAAAGCTAACCGCCGATTTCAATTTTGAACAATCTTTTACTACCAAGGTGTGTAAAGTTAGACAGGATTCTAAACCTTTAAGTTTGGTTAAATTATTCTGT